GGATTTTCTTCATGGCTGGTTTCTACACAGGGTAAAACTCCACCGCACAGTGACGCTAATCCTACAATTTTCCACTCTTTTTCAACGCACCAAATTTGTTCAAACTCTGCACCAGCATCACGATTTCTAATTTTGTTAAAATACCTTTTCTCAACTGTTCAGAAAATGCTGATTCGTTCTTGTTTACCATCTGTGAGACAGCTAAAATACCGCGTAAAAGATCACGCTTCACCCACATTCTACTTCCATAGATTCGGTACCACATCAGAATGTGTAATCGAAAGTGATCACTTCGCAAGCACTGATGATGTCACCTCGGCTAGAGATGAACCATGAATGCAAACAAATTGCTCAGCTCGGCGAATAGGTGCAATAAAATGTAACCAATCAATCACAGATTATCGCTATCATTCCGTGTATCAATACAAATAACTCATAAAATCACCTGGAACCAACAGTCCTCTCATTTCCGACCTGAAAATTATCAGTTATAAACGGAAAAGCTTAACGTTTCGACTAATACTTAACTTGTGCCTAAAAGCGATGAAATTCAGGACCATATCTTTCAGAATAATGTGCAAACGGCGATACTGATTCGAGGGTATCGCATTTACTCTCACAACCGGCAGTAAATCCGGTACCTGTTTTTCTTCCTAAATGTTAAGCCCATGATTCGTGGAATCTGATACGGGGTGACGGACAGCTGCATTGGAGGCCTTCATTGAACTGGTCGAAGAGTTACCTATTTCCGCATGGTCCAGCTGTTTCACCAAATGGTTTGAGCCCATAGAACTATGCTGGTGTGCGTGAACGCCGGTGGCGAATACTTTCAGAAAGGGTCATGATTATTTTTGTATAGCAAATAAAAGGTTTTGTGCACACGAAAACGTTTTACTCAACCCTCGTATGGAAGAAACAATAAATCGACCTAAAAAGATCTACTTGTATTTTTGGTTACCTTCTTTAGGGAAACGAAGGGAGAGGTGACAGCACTATTAATCCTCCAAAAGGCCAGCAGTAACGTCAGGAGAATTGCTTAATACGAACCACAGTTACAGTTGTCTCCCATGCTTCCATTAACTCAATTGATTGGGGTCTTGCTAAAGACACTGCAGCAACTGTATCAATCAAGCACAGTTATCTGTACGCCCAATTTCTAACTTAACCTGCATTGCAGGCCCCGTAATTTACTGCTTCAATAATTGCTTTGTTTGAGAAAAACAAAATCAATCGTTTATTGGAGGAGAATTTATTCCATCAGTTGGGGTGATTCTGACGCCATTTGCTCAGCCTGCCGCAATGAAGACACACATGCCTGTTTCTCTTCCATCCTAATTTGACTTGAGTACCGCCACTTTCTCTGTCAGTCTGTCCACTGTGGCCTTAACTTGTTCAGGCGTCTCATGTATATAAACTTGGAACGCTTGAACAGCGGCGCCATCCTGATCTCGATCTGGCTCACAACTTCCACTAACGTCATTACATCCGTGGTACGCGCCACATTGATGATTCTCGCCTTCTTACGTACGTCCTCCGGAAGACTTTCTGTGAAACAGTTGAGAAGTAATTTCGAGCGCGCATTCTCATGTGTTCGTATCGCTCGATCTAACACATCGTGCAGGGCTACGGTATACGGTAGTATGTCTACACTGACTACGAGCTACGCCGACTTGAAGCGCCTCAGTGGATCCTGGCGTTCGACCGGGGTGTCTAAACCCGTAATTGGGGCGTTGTTTGTGGCGAACCACTCTATCTTTTTCGGGTTTCTTCGCGCCGCCTCCAACATCGCTCGCGTACGACCCTTGAGAAGCATTTAGTTGCGACGTCCTCGACCTCCTCCGGGAAATTCCGCACGTCTCCATCTTCGACAGCTGCAGGCTATGAATCCATCATCCCACTGACGGCATCAGATTTTACGCTTTCAAAAGACCAGCGCTTGCTTCAGAAGAATTGTTTACTTTGAACCACAGTTAGGACATGGACAAATCAGCGTACATGTGACAAGGAGTCACATTTGGAACATGTCATCATAGTTCACAGCAGCACAGAGAATAATGAATGGAACAGTTTGATGCGAGCTGTTGATAGGCTTTTCCTATGTGAATACGATATTTGAGCTACAGGACACTTAAAACTTTTCGGAAGATTCGACGAACTTGATCACATACAATCACATCTGGCAAAATATCAACCCATTCAATGCCACAGTAAAGGTTATATGCCAAAGTTACACGCATTCTTGTATAAGAAGTTCTAAATATCTTTTTTATACTTATTAAATAATAGACAGAAATATTCCTCACCAAATCCAATCACTCCAAGTTGTTGGCAATTATCAGAATAGTTTTTCTGCAATACACACATTTGTTTGCTCAGCAAAATCCTACGTGGTACAGAGTAAATCTTGCGCGGCGTTTAAGTCACTGAACCACCATGACTATCCGCATCTATATTGTTGAGTATGTGAACGATTTTTCCCCAACAAATATGAGACAGCCGTAACCTGCAAGAAAGTCCTGATTTGGTGAGAGGCTTTCGATTGGAGTTCACAGATTGTCATTTATGTCTCCCTTCGTTCTTTTCGGACCAAATGAACTAACTGACTATCACTGAAGACGACACCTGAACAAACATGAATTAGCAATTGGATTTAGCCATGTCGTGAGGTGACTGACACAGTGGTAACACACACGCCTCCCATGCGAAGTGCCCGGAGTTTAAATCCCGGACAGGACGATGGATAGACACTAGTGATGAGCTCTAATAAGAGCGAAATTAGAGTCTAGTGCGCTCGAGTGTATGGTTGAATCGATGAACTGAGAAATGTGCGTGAAGATAAAGTCCTATAGGTAGCCAGTTCTAATCAATCGCTTCAACAGAAACGTTGTTTCGCTTGCATCATGTTTCAAAATGCGGGCAACCGGAACAAGGGTAAAAAATCTATTTTTATAGATCTTTATCCACTTCTCACTTATAAACAAAATACACTCAACTAAATAGAGCAACGTGTTGCACAGTGAGATATTGGTAATTCCAAAAACACAGTCCCCCATTGGTGTTCAGACGCAATGTTTAATTTTGACTGACTAAAACAGCTTCTTTTATATCTTCCTGATTCCCTTCTTCTGGATATAGCTAACATTATGCAGTGAAGCAAGACAAACCGATGTTGCATAATCCCATACAAAATGAATTCGGGTAAATCGCAACATTACGGTCCCTGATTTTGGGACGATTCGTTTGAATAAAGCCAAACAATCATTTCATTCACTACTTTGCTGTTTCAATTCTGGGGCTTGTTATAAACTTAGCATCGGTATAATGGGCACCCGGGTGCAATTCAAAACTCGTGTCAGCAATGTGTTTGTTTTTAAATCTTTTCCCTCATATTCTCCAATCAGAAATATACCACCGAACACCTTGACCTTTCTGAACCAGCTTTTACTAGATACTGAAGAAAAAGGTCACAAATCAATTACCTTCTTATTCAGAATCAATTTTCCTTGAATCCACCATGTGAGTCATCTTGTTTCCTGTATCTAGATCTGCCAAATGAGCTAACCAGGTTCCATACTATACTGACCCCGAAAATGGAAACTCGTTAAAATCAAAAGCCTCAATAGCCGCAAACCACTGTGTGTATTCAGCCATTTTCCGCTAGGTGAATTTGAAAATTTCGATTGAACAACTTCGGCGGACATTTTACACATTGGAAAATATTAAATTATTCCATTTCAATGCTTGGGAACAACACAATTGTATAGGGAGCCGGAAACATCTCAGACGAGTCCTCGTCCGATCGGAAGCAATTCAGATCACAGAAGAAAAGAAACAGATGTCAATTTTGTTCGCTACCCGGTGAACACACTGCGAACGACAGTGTGATGAATGACACTCAGTCATCTGGGCAGAACGTACAATCCGAGTCCATACGAGTGTGAATCGTTGGGAATCCAGTTCCAGCGCGTACAAGAGGAACATGTACTGGTAATAGGGATCTCGCTGTGTTCATCTTAGTCATAGCTTCTTTGGTGTGTAATATGGGTGAGCTCACTTGTATAGCTTCTACAAAAACTTCGTATTAGTCTTTCATCCTCATTGGGGTTACAGTGGAACAACATTAACAGTAATAATAACCTAGTTAGAACAAATATAGAAACTTTAAAAAACTTTTTGAAATGGGAGAACAGCATATTGGATGATCGCTATGACAGGAAGACAGGTGTGGAATTCGTTCTACTGAAGAGCAATCTCCGAGGGAATACGAAAGTGATCTACCAAAGCGTAAATGGGATGAGAAATAAGTGCTACTCGGGTTTCTCGCAAACGTTTGCACCTTTAAACGGGGCACGGAATAAATACAATAATCCACAGGTTCATACACACAAAACTCCGGATGTATGCGGCTAAATCCCAATAGGTTCTCTGGATATATAGGCACCGGGAATGTATCATCAGTGAAACAACCAAATGATTTGATATTTTATGGGACTTTCGTCTTGCAGTCTTTTTGCATACCTAACAATCCCAGTTATAGCTAAAATAGATAGTTTTCAAAAGAGACCTGGGTGAAATCCGTTCAACTCATTCACGAACCCACAGCTTCACCAAAAGCACCCTATAACGACAAAACGGTATCTAATAGAGGAGTATTTCTTTCGCTTTAGTTTCGCAGTCTCCGTAGACCACTACTACGTTAACTATCGATAATTTGTCAAGCAGACATTTAGCTATTGATAAAAACAATTGTATTGGTTTAAATATTCAATTAAACTGTACAAATCACATTTATAAATATGTATTCACAAGTACACTGAGAACAGAGTGTTTGAGATCATCGAAAAATGACTTGGTTACGGAACAACACACCGGGAGGGAATATTCTCTAGGGAGCATTGGGAACGGACCTTCTGTCTGATTTTCAGCTCCCGTGAGCTTGATGAAAATTTGTGAAATGCGGACAAATAAAAACCGGGCAATCCCGGTCGAAGTAAGCGGCTTCAACGCCACCAACAGCGACGATAGCAGTGCGGACGCACACAAATTCGCTTACAGTACCACATCCGAGAAACAGGCCGTTTTCCAGACTTGCCGCGTTCGTTCAGTTTGACTGGCTTCTCGGTTTCAGCAACGACCGGGTCAGATTGTGTTTTCTCGCTGTCCGATTCCAGGCCGGTCACCAGATCCGGGATAGACGGCTCGGAAGATTCAAGGGACGGTGAATAGGTCGTAATATCTAGGCCCTCATTGAACGGCAAGCAGTCAATGTGTACTATACTGGCCACCGTTAGCATAACCAGTAGTGCATAAGAAGAACTCATGTTTCGTATTATTCGTAGATCGACTTGTTTCTTACCGTTTTCACGACTGGGTCGATGTATTTATACAAAACGCTGTTCGTCTTTTTTTGTGCACACAATCATAAACTTTCCACTGACCGTGATCTGCAAGGTCAGTAGTACAGGGTGGAGCGACTTCTACTAAATGACTGGTTCGTTATGGAGTCTGATTCCATGGAGTGTGACGGGTATGTGTGTGTGCAGTTCAGCCGAAGTGGAAACGGTATCCATAGCCGTATACCGTATGACAAAAATTGGGTGGAGTCAGACAATGACACATTCCGTTTGTGGCGCAAGTGGGCATGTGGGTGTTGCGAATTTCATCATACCGGAACTCACACCGTGGCATACCGGGGTGAACTACTGCACTCCCATTAGTTGCCGTCAAAGATACGAGATGTGGCATAGATCCAAAATTGTAATTTATGAAACCTTCAATGTTTAAAATCATTAGTGTCAGCTCTAGTACCCCGCATTCTCGATGCAGCTTCATCAGAATACGCTTTGAATTTCAAATTGACTTAGCTCATGTAAGTTGATTTCGGAGACCAATCTATTTCCCGGTTGATGAAAAATTCCAGTGTAAAGTGAGGTTAGTTAAAGTTCATTTTTGCAGTCCATGCTGATTGAAAATTCTATCCCACAGTTGAGCGTTGCAAGTCAAGTCTGGTCAAGTCAAGTCAAGCCGAGAAACGCTGCACGCACCTCAAGGGAAAATTTTCAACAATTTACACACTTGCTCAGTGGAGAAGTAAAGCAAACTGCGATCACCAAGAAAAGTTATAATATAGGAAATTCCATAGCGCGCGGGCCCTTCGATTGACTGCGCTACACCTACACGCTCTATGTCACACAGTGAGTTTTTTCACATTTTCGGTCACTATCATACGTCGTCGTTACTCACGGGATGATATTATTTGTTTTAAACGTGCCAGGACATACTTTGAAGGTTCAGTGGTTTGTGCGACTCCAGTTTCTGACTGTCCAGGCTGGACCAAAAAACGCAAACGTGCAGGATGGCAAGTTGCACCTAATTGTACCCCTATGNAGACGACTATCCCCTCATTGGTCAGCACTAACTCTCGGTCCCTGTTTCCCAAAACGTCGAATTTAACGAGTATCCTCCGATCGAGAATTCCCACGAACACGTGTGCAGTCTGTGTTCAAGAATCTTGGTTGAATAGAGATGTAGGTGAATTTCCAGTCTCAATAGACGGTTTTCAAGTATACCGACAGGATCGTGGAACCGGAAGAAAACAGACTGGATGGGGTTTTGCCACATGTCAACGCTTCCTGGTGTGGCCAGTCCCATGTTATTTTTTAGTACTGCTCAAAAGGTATTGAGTGCCTAACTAATCAATGTCATCCCGTTTTACACACAATTTTGACTAACTAGTATATAGCTCCTTAACTGTACACAGTCTGATCGTATGTCTTTTTCGACTCGTTCATACCTTTTATTGCCCCACTTTTAGATGTTAACCTGCACATAATCGTTGGCAAATTTAACCATACTAGTACTTATCCACTTTTATCACTGGGTATGACAAATCCTTGTCACTCTCCCACAAGAGGTAATTCTGTACTGAACAGAGTACTCATCAACCACCCAACCCTTTTTTCTTTAGCACTAAAAGCACCTACTTCCTCCAGTGACCATTGCTTACTCGTAGTTCGACATAAAGTTTATTCTCACTGTGCATACAAATCTTTCTCTCGATCTGAGCATATCAGATTTCTTTTCGCAACTTCTCACCTACACGTGTTTCTGTCCTCAATGAACCTCTGATGCAGACCTCCCGATGGTTTTTATCATCTTCTTCTCTGCTCACGTGTGTCTCCCTATTCACCCAAACAATCAATGCCATTTATACTTACTGCTTCCCTATTCAAAGACTATATGTGNAGACTATATGTGTCCAACGGAAGGATAAAATCTCCCCTTCTGTGACGACAAGAGGAACTTCTGTACAAGTCTCACAATGTTTCAGCTGTCAGGGCTTTGTCTAGGCTTATCAAAGCTGAAGTAAATTGATTGAACGCATTATTCTCTGATCGAATTCTGAGGACTGAAAACAACAAACATCTGTGACAAGGTATAAGACTTCTCTGGGGAAGGACGAAAGTACGATCATCGCTGGATGTGAATGCTAATCATCTCGATGCCGCACTGCTGCGCCTGTCATCGGACCTTCTTCCTGCCTATGAGTCACAGGACGTTTGCAAAGTGGAACCATTCTCATATTGTGATGTGTTATATAGTTAAATAGTTGCCATTCTTCATCTGCTGCATGCCCGGATGACTTATATCTAGGCCTCTTCAAATTTGATGGTGATTCCCTAGCTGGGGCAATTACCTTCATTGTAAATGAATCCCTTCACACTTCTACTATCCCCGACTGTTGGAGGCCAATCACAATCATACCAATCCCCAAAGCATCCAAATCTTCTATCCTCTCCAAACGTTTTCGTCCCATAGCATTAACATCGTCAGCTCTTAAATTGACTGAAACGACCATCGTCAAACGCCTTCAGCAGTCTATAAACATTCCCAGTGATCCCTTACAATTTGCTTACAAGCCTAATAGATCCACCTTGGACAAAGTCTCCACCCTCATTCATTTTATCTATAAGTCTTTGAATAACTCTGTTAAGTCTGTTCGGTGTCTTTTTCTGGACTACTCTTCTGCATTTGATTCCATTCCTCGATTTAAGTTGTTACAAAACCTAGAATCGTTTGAACTCCCCAAGCAGTTGATAGCTTGACTACTCAACTATTTTACTGATAGAGTACAAACCACCACATTGGGGAAGGCCACATTGAAACCTTTACTCAACATTTTCGGGGTTCTTCATGAAGCTGTGCTATCCCCATACTTATTTGCCACTTATATTTGTGATATTCTCTGTGTTTCTCCCGCACGAATATTGAAATATGCAGATGACGTCGTGTTGTGCCAACCCATTTCTTCTAACTCCGATCTAAGCTCCTTCACTGAAAATCATGATCAAATTCAGGCATTCTCCTCCTTCTCATCGGGGCTGACCCTAAACTCCAGTAAATTTAATGAGTGCTTATATAGTTTTGCTCGCTTCCCATATCCGACAAACCCCACAGTGATTATTATTAATCCTTTGTATAGGGTGAGCTCTGTCAAATATCTTGGTGTAACCGTAGATACTAATCTTCATTGGTCAACCCACATCCACAACTGCATTGGTAAACTGCAGCATCTACCATTTCAAATACAAAAGCTCAGACAATTTCACACATCACAGTCAGTTATTTCTACCTTTGTTTATCAGTGTGTTTTTCCCATCTTACTCTACTGTTCCCCAGCCACTCTTCCTGCCTTACTCCGACAGGATTTTATTGTATTACCATCAGTCGTTATCAGTCCTTTCTCTTCTGCTTTTGTGAACCACCTAGCTTTAGGGCTTTCAGAGTATTATGCATCTACCTGTGTGAGATTTACTGAGAGGATTCTCACAGATCCTGACTACCCATTACAGGCAGAAATGAAACCTTGTCGTTCTCATCATCCAACGCGCTTGCAACTCCGTCAAATTTCATCTGACAGTAGCCGTTACTGCAATTCAACTATACTGTATCTTGCTCGTCTACTCCTAAACAAAGAGCAAACAATAAGTGAACTTTGTCTTAACCTTGGATAATGAAATGTCCCCATGTCTGTAAAACCTTTTATCCCCGTTCATTATGTACATTGTGACGGTTAGTGTACATGATTTTTTAACTTCAATGTGAGCTGCAGTGCTTGCAAAAGTTACACACTATACAATACACAATTCAGTGTGGACGGCATCTTTGTGATCAAATATTGATCCAGTTGAATGCGCACAACCTCGACTGATTTGACGAAGCTGTGAAGACAAAGTTGAATAACATTGTAATAAAAAAAAATCAATCATTTGTCTTCCACTAGTTTCAGCAGTTTCCCACAGCGGTCAAAAATGAACGGGACCTCTGAGAGAGAATTACTTTGTTCAAAATAATAACTACGGACTGTTCCATTCATTATTCTCTGTGCTGCTGTCAACTATGATGACATGTTCCAAATGTGACTCCTTGTAACATGTACGCTGATTATACACAGTACAATGCAATACAAAACATACTTTCGTAAACGAGAGAAAGCTTGATGCAAGAGTCTTTCCCTGAGGTGGGTGACATTTGTGGAACAACTGCTCAGTAACCCAGAAATGTATGGAATTAGACTGTTGCTATATATGTGGAACTATGAACGGGAAGGAGTTGAAATTAAGAATAAATTCCGGAATTCGAGAAGACTTTTATGATTTCTCGTTGAGCCCTAGATTACGTGTTATCCTGTTGATAAATGTATCGTAGATGTCAAAATCTTTGGAAATAAAACAATTTTATCAACTCCACTGTAACGGGACCAGAGTTTATGGGACCTGGGAGCAAAGTTCATATGCTTTTCTTTCAGACAAGGTATGCATCATGCGGAGCAGTATAACTATAGTGTGGAGGGATGTAGGCAATTACAAATTTAACAATAGATTTCTGTGAGGGCCAGTCTTCTGCGTTTGCATGCACAAAAAGACATTATCGAACTTTTGTAAAAACGCCAATGACATGAGCAGATCGGGTCAGATTTTGGATGAGGGTAACACCAGGATATTTAACGGAGCCAGATTTAGGGATGCTTTGATTATGAACAACAAGATGCGAGAGATTGCTTGCTAATGAAAGATAACTGGGGGTCCGTTTTGAAGATTGAATGTAACGCCAATGCACCCATTGACGTTACGTATAAGGGATCGCGACACAGGCCAATCGTTGAGTTTATGAAAGGGGTTG